TAATCAAAATACCATTTTTTTAGTCTTTCTTCCAGCATTAAAAACCTAAGCATTAAAAACTACCCTTTACCCACTCTAAAAAATAAAACAGGGGCTTAGTAGGCCTTTAAATTAGATTTTCTTTGAATTCTGTCACCGGAAATCTCGGAGGGATTTAATATTTTTAGAGGAAGAGATTTCAATTACTTCAATATTTAGGTTAAACGCTGATTGCTGTGGGAATGGTAATACCCGCTATGGATATTCCATATAATTATTGTTAAATGGGTGTTGGCACATGGGAACACCGAGTAAACGTGTGCCCGAGTAACCTGATAACATCACAGCTATATATGGACTATGTGCCAGTTACAGCTCATCCGGGGCATCCGAGCCTGAAATAATATCATAATGTTATAATAAAATAATACAGTTTAAATATATCTGTTAAAGTGCCATCGTCCATACAGAGCTTTCAGTCCGTGTTATTTCGTCACCATGTGCGGTGCCCTTTTTACAGGGTCAGTCTACAGAATAATTATATTTAGGGGGTTCTTCACAAAGCTGCCAAGTGAATAACCCAGCCGAAGTGAAGTGAGCCTAACGCTGTTCGGCTATTCACTTCTGGCTTGTACGGCTGATTTCAGCCATACATAGCCTGAAATCGGCCATACATCGGCTGCCTTCGGCTGCACTTCGGTCAAACAAACATGCCGAAGTGCAGAAGGACTTCGCCTCAGCTGATCCAACATCTGGATCGGCTGAGCCGAAGCTCCAGCAGCTCACTTGCTGTCGTTCGCCCCTATTCTCGTAGGGACCGAATGGCAGTGAGTGAATAGCCAAATGCCACCGAGCGGAATTCGGCTCGCCTATCCTGCTCGGTACCTCCGTGGTACCAAGCAAAATAGAAAATCAATGAAAAGAGTTAAAAAAAACGGAAAAAAGGTTGAAAAAATATTTGTAAAATGTAAATAAACAGTAAAATTAAAAAATAAAGATGTAAAAAAAAAAAAAATGACAGCTAGCTCCACCGAACTGTTTCCTATTGGCCGGCACCTGCTAGAGTCTGCTAGCAGGTCCCGGCCAATGAATAACAACTGGGCGGAGCCAGCCGTGATGTCATCACGGCTGGCTCCGCCCAGTTGTTATTATTTAATGACAGATCAGCGTCCCCAGGTCATTTGGGGACGCTGATCTGTCATTACAACTGGGTAGAGCCAGCCGTGAGGTCACGGGTGGCTCCGCCCAGCTGTCATTAGCAGGGTTCATGGCCGATCTTCGGCAGGCCGTTCGCCCCCGCTTCGGGTGTCACTTCGACTTCGGCTTGGCTGAGCAGCTCGGCCACCTTCGGCTGCTGTACGGGCTATAGTGAATAGACCGTACAGCAGCCCTTCGGTTCCACTGAACCGAAGGGCTCCTGTGGCCGAAGAGAGCCGAAGGATCAGCCGAGGCTCCGGCTGGATCCTTCGGCTCGTTAGTGAATAACCCCCTTAGTTTATGAGTTGAGATGGTTGAGTTCCTTCACTCACTGACTTATTATATCTTGCAAGGTCACTGAAGGGGGGAGCTCTATACATCGATGTCCGATTGCTGATCCTCTTGCAATCATCTCTTTATGCCCTATCTGCACGGTTGTGACCACTCAATGCTTGCTTCTGTTTGGCTGCTGGCGTGGACCAACCAGAAGCTGACATTGAGCAGTCACATCATTAATAATGTATTTGGAAAACATCAGAGACAACAGAATTTGCTTTCGGTGGCAGTGGGGGCTTTTTGAAAGGTTATCCAAGTTGTGATGGAGGTTGGGGATACGCATGGGATGCTAAGGCAAGTTGTGTGTCAGGATTTCAGTCAAGTAAGGGTTGCCGTGCCAATGTTGGAACGATTTAACACTATTCGTTCTTCTGGGGAGGCTTTCCACAAGATTTTAGAGGGGGTCTGTGGGAATTTGTGCCCAAAGAGCATTTGTGAGGTCAGATACTGATGTTGGATGAGAAGACCTGGCTCACAAACTGCATTGGGTTTCATCCCAAAGGTGTTCAGTAGGGTCAAGGCTCTGTGAAGGCCACTTATGTTCCTTCACCTCAAATCATGTCTTTTGAAGGTGGCTTTGTGCACAAGGGCACAATATTGTTGGACCTTTCCCAAACTGTTGCCCCAATAGTTGTAAGAAGACTGTTATCCCAAAGGTCTTATAAGGTGTAGCATTAATGGTACAAAACTTAATACTTTGAAGAGGTCTCTACATAATTTTGCTGATATCATGTACCAAAAGATGCCTTCACATACCATCCCTATGCTCCCTTACCACCATTGTCCACTTCTGACACCTAGAGAAATACCTATTATTGGTTGGTATGGGTATACCCACATCTACTACTGGTTGATATGGGACACCCATGCACCAATATTGCTTTGTGCCTGGCCACTTATCAAACACGAGGACAGGGGTATAGAAGGGGATTTGCTTAGCTTTACACAAGTTTCGGCTTTCAAAAGTGAAAACTTTCATGATAATTTTGGAGGCCCTTGGATGCCATTTTGGCGGTGGTGGTGGAGGCTTAGGAAAGGGTAAATGCAGGCACTTTGTGGACCACTATTGTCCCCTTCTGACACCTAGAGAAATACCTACTATTGGTTGGCATGGGACACCTACATCGACTACTGGTTGATATGGGACACCCATGCACCAATATTGCTTTGTGCCTGGCCACTTACCAAACATGAGGACAGGGGTTCAGAAGGGAATTTGCTTAGCTTTAAGCAAGTTTTGGCTTTCAAAAAGTTAAAACTTTCATGATAATTTTGGAGGCCCTTGGCAGCCAGCTGGGCGGTGGTGGTGGAGGTTTAGGAAAGGGTAAATGCAGGTTCTTTGTGGACCACCATTGTCCTCTTCTGACACCTAGAGAAATACCTACTATTGGTTGGTATGGGACACCCACATCTACTATTGGTTGGTATGGGACACCCACATCTACTACTGGTTGGTATGGGACACCCACATCTACTACTGGTTGATATGGGACACCCACATCTACTACTGGTTGATATGGGACACCCATGCACCCATATTGCTTTGTGCCTGGCCACTTAGCAAACATGAGGACATGGGTTCAGAAGGGGATTTGCTTAGCTTTAAGCAAGTCTTGGCTTTCAAAAAGTTAAAACTTTCATGATAATTTTGGAGGCTCTTGGCGGCCAGTTTGGTGGTGGTGGTGGAGCTTAGGAAAGGGTAACTGCAGGCACTTTGTGGTACCTGTTTTTCAGCTTTTGGGTTTACTTTCTTAGTGCAGAATGCCTTCATAGTGGTTAAACTATTTCTGTTTGCTAAACTGTTTCTAACATGGCACTACTGATTCACGGTGGGTAAATATAAAATGCCATTATGGACAGTCTAATGTTGTCATGGTGATGTGTCGCTGTAAAGTTTGAGCTGTCTGTATTTTTTTTCATACTGCTGTCTGGAACAAATAATATAGAAATAAATTGGCAGCCCTGGAGCACAGGGAGCCACCATCTAACTGTCACTCATCCATCTGTCCATCGCTCTGTCATTGCAGGCAGGAGTTCGTTGATCAGTGTCCGGACCTGACGAAGGAAGTCTACCTCCAGGACATTCACTGTGTCGGCTCGCTGTGCAAGCTCTATTTCCGGGAGTTGCCAAATCCACTCCTCACCTTCCAGCTTTACACCAAATTCACAGTAAGATGCTTTCTTCCACTCAGTGACTTGTTGGCTTAATGTGAACTTATCATCCAATCCTAATACCTAAAACTAAAAATGATTCCTAATGAAAGAATGTGGAAGGTGCCTGCTATTACATCCAGTGTCCAACAAAGCCATCCATCTGAGGTTACTCATAGTATGACCTGGACTTTCTCAACTCTTCTGACCATTCTGTCCAATTAGAATACCCCTATTGGTCTGCTAGTCACTCTCCTTGGACAGTGGTGGGTTAGCAAAAGGCTAGCACACTGTCCAAGAAGAGTGACTAGCAGACCAATAGAGGTATTCTAATTGGACAGAATGGTCAGAAGATAGGCAGGACATATGGCTAGGAGTTAAAAGTTGAGGAGCTTAGGCCACGGTCACATCTAGGCGTTGGCTTTTTTAGGCTATTTTTGAAGCATTTTGCAGGCGTTCAGCTTCAGGCAATGTTCTGTTTTGGCCCAGTAGCTTCATTGACATCATGAAACAGCCCCAAAAAATGCTCCCAAACGCTTTGTTGGTCATATGACAAAAAACTTCAATAAATGAAGCATTTGCTATCCTAAAAGGACTGGTGTGCTGGTGAGATTTCCACTATTTTGCTGACATTCGCGGCACCATCCGCGGTCACTGCGAGCACCCCCCACTACAAGGGACACATCGGTAAGGAGTGCGACAAGGATAGTACTTATTGGCTGCAAGCGACAGAACGCTCAGGTGTGACCAGGGGCCATAGAAAACAATGGGATTCCTTGTGTTGAGTATTTTGTCGCTTTGAGCTGCCAGCTACAAAATGCCTAGGTGTGAACGGGGCCTCAGGGGCTCATTAACAAACCAAAGACAGTCTCACAGATGACATTGAAGAGGCCTTACATGATGAGGCTTGCTCTTATGCCCGCCATGCTTTCGGACTGGCTGGTTGATGTGTCTTGGTTGAAAACAATTAATTATTTTACGTTACTGGTCAGGTAATGCATTTTACGTGCTTGATATGCATTATGATAAAACACTGACACATGAACAGGGAGCATCTCCAAGTATCGTTATCGGCATAAAAACAGCGAAACAGCTTGCCACCCTAAGGCTCCATTCCCACCTAGGCATTTTATAGCTGGCAGATCAAAGCTACAAAACACTCAACACAAGTTTGTTTTCTATGGCCCCTGGTCACATCTGAGCGTTCTGTCGCTTGTAGCAACACGCCTGTAGCTTGGAAAAGTACATGAGCTGCTTTTCAGGCAGATTTGTGATATTGGAGACGATCCCGGTCCAAGTGCCGGTGTTTTAGCATCACGGACTGACAAGGTGGAGCAGGAACCTTTGTTCTGCACCGGTGTCCCCGCAGGCATGCAGACTGGACGGGAGGAAGTCGGGGCTGGTTCGAAAAATATAACTGTGTACTTGATATGTATTAGATTCGACCTGTTTTGTTAGATTGATTGGTTGATCCAATGATCATATGGATACATGTGTGCCCATCATTAGGCAGTGGACTGAGCTCTGGATATTGAGTGGTTGACTTTAAAGTGTATGTCAAGCAAAAAAACCTGTTTAGAGTGGAGGAGGATTAGAACCCTTTTCAGGTTATCTGGGGCTCCATAGTAGAGATTTTCCCTTTCTTCCTGTTCTGGCGACAATGGTTTTAGCAGACAGGAAGTAAGGGGAAATCTGCAACATCAATGCGTCACTTAAATGCATCGCACCTATTAAAAATGTTTTCAACACTTTGCTGCCACCCATACGCACGGCGCTGCCGCAGACATGCATACAGCTGGCACCGCTGTACCGCTGAGAACAATTGCTTTCTATGTGCCCTTGGGTTGGCCCTGCGTTGATCAATGCAGCTCAGTGCAACTGGTGTGAACGAGTCCGTAGCCCGTACGTCAGTTTTTTAACCCGCTTACCTGTTCAGAATGCATTGAAGCCGAGGGGGAAGGGGGTCAACATAACAGCCAGGCTGGTAGCATAAAAAATATATTTTTAGGCTAGGTTCACACCAGATGCAGTGCGTTCTGGCCCGATTCTGGACAGAACGCACTGCATCGCATTGCGGCCGGCTCACTTTTTTGTGGGGCAGGAGCGGGTCATTGAAGTGAATGACACCGTAGCCACGCCCCCATTTTGACCGCACCGGACCGCAGGCACAATTTGCCTTGCGATCCCGTGCGGCTGATCGCATTGCGGCCGGAGGGGGTGGCTACGGTGTCATTTACTTCAATGGTCAGTCACGCCACCCTCCTGCCCTACAAAAAAGTGAGCTGGCTGCAATGCGATGCAGTGCGTTCTGTCCAGAATCGGGCCGGAACGCACTGCATCTGGCGTGAACCTAGCCTTAAAGTTCTGCCCCCCAAGTGCACGCACATACAAATGCAAACACGCACCAAAGCTCTACCGTGTTTCCCCGAAAATAAGACACTGTCTTATATTTTTTTGGGCTCAAAAAAACACACTAGGTCTTATTTTCGGGGTAGGTCTTTTTTTTAAAAATGTACAACAATCCACACTTATTCATGTAAAAAAAATATGGTGGTCAGGGCAATCAGGGGTGCCGTACCTATTGATTCCTCACAGGCGGAGTGCCTTTGGTATCACTCCACCTGTGACAGGAGCCGGCGCTATAGAAGAGGCATCGGCTTATGCGGCTCTGCTCCCTCCACTGCCGCCTCGATTCCTCTAGCGCCGGCTTTGTTGGTACCGCTGATTCTCTCCCGCGGCTCTTCAAGTTCCCCCTTATGACACCACCGGCCCTGGGAATGGTCACAACTAGGTCTTATTTTCGGGGTAGGTCTTATATTTTAGCAATTTCCAAAAATAGTACTAGGTCTTATTTTCGGAGAAACAGGGTATGTCCTAAAAAATGGTATAAAATTAATGTCAGTACAGCGTTGCATGACGGAATAAATGTCAGTCAAAGTACTGCAGCGCTGAATACTGAAAAATGTCCGGGACAGGAAGGGGGTTTAACACCCTGGTCATCAAGTGGTTAAAAGGGGGTACCAATGGTAGACCCCCATGTTGTTGTCATTACAGGTATACTTTGTAACCCCTCCAAAGGGGTGGAAAGCTCGCCGTCTTCTGAATGGTTAATTGGCGCATTTGAACGAGACCTTCAGGAAACTTCACGGTAACAAACAGCAACATTTAAATCCTCTGAAGATACAAGATACAATCAATTCTGCTTTGATGTGTGTTTATCCTTGGGGGGCGGAACGCGTCGCTCTTGCATTACACCAAAAGGTGACGGCGAGAGACTTTTGGCCTACTTTTGAAGTTCTTGCGGCCCCCCCTGTTGTTCTCTTGTCCGCTGGCTTCGCTGTCAGTAACTCCTTCTTAGCTTCTGCCTGCAGCGCAAAGTTCCATCGCCATGGAAACGGCATGAGCACGGAACCCTGATATCACCTTTTAATATAACTTAATTCCTGTCTTGGTAGAAGGAGAAAGCGGCCCAGCCGGCGGGACGTAAAAGGCCGATTATGTGTAGGAGCAGCGGGTGTGTGTTTTGCACTGTAGGATTTTACATTTTAAGTTATCGCCGTAGCAGAAGTCAATCGAATTTAAAGCCTAAGTTTATTCTGCTGATATTTGGCCTTCTCTGGTCCCCCCCCATCAACATGCTCATGCCGTTTTTAAATAAAGTCTTCATTGCATGCCCTGTTATAGTAGCAATGGGTCCCTGTGCTTCTCTTTGCAATGCAGGCAGATGATGGTTGTTGGGAGGAGCCGGCTGGGTGCTATAGATGGCTGGCAGGAGGAGCCAGCAGGGTGCTGTATATGGCCGGTAAGGGGAGCTGGTAGGGTGCTGTGCATGACTGGTGGGACGAGCCGGCAGGGTGCTGCTGTACATGGCTGGTGGGAGGAGCTGGCAGGGTGCTGTACAGGGCCGGTTGGTGCACCCGGCAAGATGCTGTACATGGCTGGTAGGAGGGGCTGGCAGGGTGCTGTACATAGCTTCCTGAAAACACCACAGCACCCTGCTGTCAGGGTGCTGTACATGGCTGGTGGGAGGAGCCGGCAGGCTGCTGTATATGGCCGGTGAGGGGAGCCGGCAGGGAGCTGTACATGGCTGGTGGGAGGAGCCGGCAGGCTGCTGTATATGGCCGGTGAGGGGAGCCGGCAGGGAGCTGTACATGGCTGGTGGGAGGAGCTGGCAGGCTGCTGTACAGGGCTCGTGGGAGGAGCTGGTGGGGTGCTGTACATGGCTATTGGGAGGAGCCGTCAGGGAGCTGTGCATGGCTGGTGGGAGGAGCCGGCAGGCTGCTGTATATGGCCGGTGAGGGGAGCCGGCAGGGAGCTGTACATGGCTGGTGGGAGGAGCCTGCAGGGTGCTGTACATGGCTGTTGGGAGGGGCCGGCAGGGGGCTGTACATGGCTGGTGGGAGGAGCCTGCAGGGTGCTGTACATGGCTGTTGGGAGGAGCCGGCAGGGTGCTGTACATGGCTGGTGGGAGGGGGCGGCAGGGTGCTGTACATGGCTGTTGGGAGGAGCCGGCAGGGTGCTGTGCATGGCTGGTGGGAGGAGCCGGCAGGCTGCTGTATATGGCCGGTGAGGGGAGCCGGCAGGGAACTGTACATGGCTGGTGGGAGGAGCCGGCAGGGTGCTGTACATGGTAATTGGTAAGATTATTTCTTTAGGCTAAAGGCCACAAATTTAAAGTGACTCTGTCAGGTTGTCAAAAAGATCGAGATGAAGCCTCCTCCCTGCCATAGAGGAGCTCTTATACAGCATTTGCAGTTGTAACTGGTAGGAATGCACACTGCAGCTCACATTAACCTCCATGAAGGGAACTCTGAAGGCTATTATATGTATATTTATTTAAATTAGTAGATATAGAATTTTAGATGGAATCAATCAAGCTGTTACAGCTGCTGCTGAACTACAAGTACCAGCATGTCCGGCACAGCAACCCCCCTCGCCCACACACACAATGAGGGGATTGTCTCCTTCTGCTGTACATGAAATGCAGAATGGATGCGGGCGATCCCTGTACAGTGTAC